TGATTCCACTATTACCAATCGGGCCACATAGTAGTAAACTCAAGTTTACGAAGCAGATTTTTTAATTAACTAAGAGCCCGTTTGGTAGCATCAAAATCGGCTGTTTTGGCTGATTCTGCTGAAATTTATGATATTCTGGCTGGAGTGGCTGTTTTGGCTGATTCTGCTGATTTAAGAAAAAAATATTTTAAAAATATATTTTATTAATAAATTAAAGAAAAAATTATATGTAAAAATAGCTAAAATGGTCCTCTACAGTAACTTCAGCCAATACAGCCAGAAAAGTAACTCCAACCTTACTTTTTCGGCTTATTACACAATTCAGCGCGCGAAAGTAAAAGTTACGTGTTTGGTGAAAAAGCAGGCTGATAAGCCTGATAAGCCGAAAACAGAGTTCTCCAAACGGGCTCTAAATACTACAGCTGGCATTTCAAGAAAAAATGTCTAGTGTTTTAGGGACAAGTCTTGTTCATGTATCAAATTCGTACCAAGTACGCACATCTGTTTGTTGCACCATTTTGTGAAATTTCAAGTCCACATGTCTTGTTGGCTTGAGTATATCATTTCGGACTTTCGGTACTAGACATGCTAATTAAAATTATTATTATTGTTCTTAAATGGAAAAATACAAAAAGAAAAATACAAAGTCTATGAGAAAACTTTTTTGTAATGTGTTATAACTTTTTTACTTATATTCCATCTTTTACAAAAATATATAAAAATGTACAGTAACTTTTTAAATCAATATTGCATATATAATTTTTTTTATTGAAAATATGAATATAGGCTAAAAATACACGAAAGAAAAAAATAACCAAATGTGTATTCATGATATTCCAACAAATCACGGAACTTTAGTTGAACCCATTTTAGGATCTGAAATCTGAATAATGGTTCAATATGTAAGATTTAGTTGAACTAAGGATGTTTTTAATTGGACTGTAATTCGTCCCAGACCTAGAAATCAGACCAGATCAAACCAGTAAATTACAGTCCAAGTAAAAACATCCAATAAAAAGTTTCTGAAATATCATTTATGGTTTGTTACAACATTTATGGTTTGTTACAGTTGATTTTGCCAAAAATAAAGGAATTTACTTTGCTCAAACATGACTGTTTAATGAGAGGGGGTAGGGGACTATACTTAGAGCATCTTCAATGCTAAAATGTGCACGGTGCACATGTGGCATGAGTGATAACTACATAAATATTAGCAAATAAATTATCACTCTCTTTATTAGAATGCTTTTATACAATTTTGGTAAGTTTTTCCTTGCAATGTCGATTGCAGTGTCAACATTTAGACGGTCTCCTTGACATTGTGGAGAAAAACTTATCAAAACTGTATAAAATCGTTCAAATAAGGAGAGAAAGAATTTATTTATTAATATTTATGTAAATATCTCTCATGTCATGTGTGCACTGTGCACCTTGTAGCATTGGAGATGCTCTTATTATTATTCATTGAATAATGGGGAAGACCGTGTAAGACAAAATTAAATCTTAATTACTACGGAGTATAATTGAACAACGACTTCTTTAAAATGCTTCGGAATCATACTGCTATGAAACAAATATACGGAGTATCATTTTTCTTAAAAGTATACATAATTTAGTACTCATTACTGAAAATACATCTATATTTAGATTATATTCATATAAGTACGCTAATGCAAGTACATGAGACAAATTAAAAAAGGTGTCTTTGTTGGGACTTGAGGTATGAACTGTATCAGGCCAATTGTATGTTTCTAAGTATACAATCGTGTATATACACATCACACATGTGCATACTCGATTTATGTGTTTATGAACTATTCTAAATTGATTTTTAAAAGCTTTTGTTACTTTTCTCTTGTGAAAATATATTTAGTCAATGGTACAAAAAGTTTTATTTTGTAGCACAGTAGAAATTGCTACAAAATAATATATATTGTAATATTACTTTACCAAGAAATGCTATAACAAAATCAGTAATAAATTGCTACAATACATTAACGTAACGCCAAGGTCGGATGCAGCATATATAAGGAGTACTAAAAAGTACTACATTTGATTTATTGTGACTTTTTTTACAACTATTACAACATTTTGCATATGCTACCAAAACTATATTTTATGGTTATGAATTACTTCTATTATACTTCCTCCGGTTTTATTTAATATTCATACTTTGACTTCACACAAAATAATGAAAGAAATTTGACTTTACTAAAGAGTACACTGTTGAGGCACTGTTTGACACTGTTTGGCACTGTAGAGACACTGTTTGGCACTGTTTGACGCTGTTTTGATATAGATTTCTTTGGCAAAAAAGGAAATAAAAAAGTGTGAAATTTATTTTAGACCGTCACAAAAAAGAAAGTATGAAGTTTACTAAAAACCGGAGGGAGTATAAAATTGGATCGTGCCATTTTCAACTCGTTATTTTTCTGACATATCCCACAATTTTTGTTTCGATAGGATGATATTTTTTTTATCAAAGCTTTATAGAAGAGTTACAAATAAAAATAAAATATTTAAGATGAGTGGATGATGTATGCTTTTTTGTTTGAGGTGGAGACACAAAGGCAACTTACACATGCCCTGGCCTATAATTGTGAGTTTTGCAGCCACTCTGTTACATCAATACGGCAATAAGCCACGTAGAGAAAAGGTTTATGAAAGTGCAAAATTGCAAATGGATATCAAGCCATGTAGAGAAAAGGTTTATGAGAGTGCAAAATTGCAAATGGATATCTTCTTACATGTAATAATAGATTACAATTTATGGAGTATTATATTTATTTATACTACGTATATGATTTCAACTACTAATGTAAAATTATGGTTAAAATAATCTATTGAGCATCATATATTTGTTTAGGAATGGAACGATGTTGTAGTCAAACTTGGTAAATCAATCTAAGAAAGGGGTGTTTGGTAAATGGCGTTTCGGCCTAAAAATGGCGGTTTGACCACTTTTGGCGTTTTCGATGAGTGAAAATATTGTTTGGTAAATAGCGGTTCGGCACTAGCGTTTTTGGACGGAACCGCTGACGCTGCAAATATGAGAGTTTTGGGTCAGCGTTTTGAAAAATGGCGTTTTGTATTAATTTTATGGCCAAACAAGTAAATTAACAAACATCTTCTAAAAACCCGCCAATTTTATTCCGCTAGTCAAACTTGCTTTTTGAATCCGCTATTAATAACCCGCTAACATAATCCGCTATCCGCTAACCGCTAAATGCCAAACACTCCCAAAGACATCATGGGTATATACATACAACGCACATATTGCATGCTCAAGAGTACATATAGTTATTAAACAAACTAAAAAGAAAGCAAGGATTTGTTCACTACCATCTCAAACAAGACGAGACCAGTTGTAAACATATCATATTACGTAGTACTTTTGTACTTCCTCCGTCCCATTTTAGTTGTTCTATTTTGCTTTTTGGGTTGTTTCAAATAGATGTCTTGTTTCTTTTTTGGCAAGAAAAATGTGATCCTTATCATTTCACTTTATTCTACCCAAATCTCAATAATAATTTCACTTTTTTTGTAACACCGTCCCCAAATATATTTACTTTTAAGTGAATAATGTATTGAACCTTATGGAATGGTTAATGAATTTACGAAGTTGTGAATTGTTATTAATTCTTTCGCGTGAATAGTAAATTTGCACGTGGGCCCACATCGGGAGCGGGGGACCGCCCGACATTCCCGAGACTATATATTTTATTCATTTTGGTCGAGATAACATTTGTATAGTGGTGAATAATTTATTTGGGCCAAAGAAAAGACATAATGTGGACTGATTTGTCAAAAGTGGCTCAATTATCGATATTTGTAATTTAGCAGATAACAGCCCGAAATGAATTTCGGAGACTTGTTAATTAAAGTTGGGGAATGTATATTCATTATAAATGTCAGAATGATTAAGAACACATAATATATTTTATTCGACACGATAAAATAAAATATATTTAAAACAGTCCGAAAAATACAACTTTCGGGATCGAATGCACACTTTGGGACACACGGGGATGACCTCCCACATGAGTGGGGGACACCCCACGTTTTTTGGGGTTGAACAAACAAAGGGAGAGTTGGGTTGACAAGAGAATAAGTGGAGGAGGTGCAAAGGGACCCTTTGACTTCACTCATTTGCCAAAAGAGACAAAAAGAACACCCCTACCCCTTTCCTTTGCATTATTTCGGCCAACCCACCAAGAGAGGAGAAAGAGAAATCCCTCAAACCATTCTCCATTGTTGCAGCACGATCGCAAGAAGGAGTCCAAAGTAGGGGTTTTAAGAAGGAAAAAGTTGGGAGAAAGTGAGAAAAATTAAGGCAATGACCTTATACTAACTTTTCCTTTATTTTTCTCCTACCATATGATATATATGTCATATGAAGAACCCTTAGGGAGTGTTTGGTTCAAGGTGATATCTTATGCATGGCGGAATCTCATGCCCGGAATGTGAGATACCTGTGTTTGGTTCGCGGGTTTGATTTTTTCTTTTGGGAATGTTACATTCCCAAAAGTGGAAAAGGTGATCACATTACCAGGCATGTCAAACCCACCAATGCCTTAGGTTATGTTAGATTCCTGATGGCTTATTAATTTTCTTCCAAAAAAACCTATGCTTCATTAATCGAAATATCTAGATGTGGACTGAGCCCAGTCCGATTCCGGTTCCGGGTCGGCCCCGAAAGGGCTTGACTTTTTGGGAATGAAGCCCGGGACCGGAACGGCTGTTGACCAGTACCGGTTCGGGGCGGTCTACCCGCCCGGGTAACGGGCCGGGCCGGGTACATTTTTCTAATTCATGTCTAAAAAATAATTCAAGAAGTGCTACATATAAAAATTTAAAGTACATTTATTTGAAACATGAACTACAATTGAAAATTGAGAAAAAAAAAATTAAAACATGAAATACATTTTCTAATAATTGATAAATTTAATGTGTTAAGAGACAAATATATAAAGGACATTCAAGTAATTCACCAAATATGCAATAAAAGATATCATTCAACCAAACAACTTAATGTGACATTCCTTAATCGTAACCAAACACAAATAGGCTATACATTAATCACATTCCCATTTATCTAACATACCCAGTAATCTAACATTCTCATGGTTATATGACATTCCTTGAACCAAACATACCCTTAGGATTGTTCCACATGTTATAAGTGTGGGATGATGGGTTGAAATGAAGCTTTGAGTCCAAGAACGGACTTAAAGGCCAAAACGGCCGGTTCGCCGGAAAATAACCTTTTAGAGGTTATTTGTATTAATTAAGGTTTTATGATGTTAAAACCTTGTTAGGAACTTTATTGAGGTATTTCAAGGTCTTTTACAAGGTTGAAAGAGTTGCCGGAGTTGTCGCCGGAGTTCATCAAAAGTTGCCGGAGTTTCGCCGGAGTTCATCCGAGGGGTAGAACATCATAGTGCTAATTCGAGGTGAGGATGACCGACTATATTGCTTATAATCATTGGGTTAATATTTCCTAAATGAATAAAAATGTGATTTGCATGGATTATTAATGGTTAGTAATGCCTAAATGAAATTACTATTGATTATTAGTATGCATAATGTACAAATTTATGAATAAATTATGTATGTTTATGTGTTATGAATATGATGGTATGATGGTTGTATTAACCATGAACTTTATTTGTGATAAATATACTTTTATTTCATGAGAAAAAGTCATGAAAGTATAAAAGTGATATTTTGATATTAAGGTCAAATTACACATGAATGAGAAATTATATTGAAATGAATAAACAACTAGTATTGAAATATTAGTTGGAGACCAATGGATACAGATAAATCACAACAAGAAAGGTAAAGATAAGGTGGGAGTTGGGCATGACAATCCTGAAAAGTCCCGTAAGGGGAGGAGAGAATTAATCCTAGTCTAAAGGATAGGGTGGGTGTTGGGCATGACAAGCCTGAAACGTCCCATAAGGGGGAGGAGAGGATTAATCCTAATCTAAAATATGGCAGTATTACTACTGATAAGGAAACAGTTGAAGTTATATTTATAACTGAAGAGGGGGAAAGCACTCAGATGGAGGATCAGAATGTGGAGCCTATTGATATTATAAATAATATATCGGTGGATGTTACTAAACTTATCTCGTTCGAGGAAGGCAATTCTGGAGGGGACACAAGACAAGTCATAATAGAGCAAGAAGGGTATGTTTCTGAGGGGGATAATGCTTTTGTAGAGGAAGCCGCCAAAGAGTCCTGGAGGCAATTATGTGGGGAACTAAAGAGGAAGGTTGATCTTATTTGTCAAAATAAAGGCGTTGCTCTAGATGTGGTCTCCCGAAGGAAAATCAAAGAGGTTCAGCCTTCTTATGCAGTCAAGACTCGGCTGGCTGCTAAGAGGGTCTCACAGGAAGCTACTTCTGAAGTTTCCTTATGAAGATCCTTTCATGGAATTTGAGAGGACTAGCCTCGTCGTGCCCGAGGCTACGTGACTTCATTAGGCACAATAACATTGATTTTGTTTCCGTTATTGAACCTATTGTAGGTCAAGACAAAGGTGATTTTCTTATGCAAAGTTTGGGTTTCACAAATATTTATATGGCGTCCACTAATAAGATGTGGGTGATGTGGAATAAACACATTTTTGATGTCTCTGTCATATCGGAGGAGGATCAATTTTTGATAGTGAAGATGAAATTCATTCCCTTGGATTTTAATTTTGTTTTTTCCCCGGTTTATGGACTGCATACGAGAGCGGATAGAGCTAGGCTGTGGGCTGGTTTAGCCAGGGATAGAGGAGCTTGGGTTTTGGGAGGAGACTTTAATGTAGTGTCCTCCATTTCCGAATATAAAGGTCCATCTACTCTGCCTTTAAATGATATTTTGGATTTTCAAGATTGTATAGATGGGTGTGATCTACTTCAACTGCCTGCGCTTGGGTCTGTGTTCACATGGTCAGGGGTGCGGTCCAGAGGTAGAGTATGGGAGAAACTTGACACGTTCTTGGCTAATCAGGAGTTTGTTGATAAATTTGAAACTGTGAAAATCCAGCACTTGAGCAAAACTCCGTCTGATCACTGTCCGTTAATCCTAATGTGTGATTCTGCCTTAACTCAGGGGCCAAGACAGTTTAGATTTCAAAATATGTGGCTCCTAAATGAAGAATTTTTGAAATTTGTGAGGAATAAATGGGTGAGGTATCCAACTGTAGGAGGAATGTGGGGTTTTAGTGAAAAATTGAAGATGCTTAAAGCGGATTTGAAGAAATGGAATAAGGATGTGTGTGGGAATATTTTTGGAGACACGGTGAATGATAAGTCCGTATTTAAACACACATTTGATGTGTGTTCGGATCGGCTTTTGATGGTTTTCCTAGCTTTGAGGTGTTATAAGTATCAATTTTAGCTCAAGTTATGTTTATCAGGCGCATTTAACTGCACAATTATCTTCAAGAATTAATTTGAATGCGTTCCCAATTGAAGTTTTAGCTGAAATTTGGTATGAGTAAACTATATTTGATGAATAAGATGCTCAAAAATTTTCATCAAAAAATTCCACCGGAAATCGCCCCAAATCGCGACGGCCGGACAGAGCCTCCTATATAAGGACTTATTTGACCTTTTTATGAAAGTTCGAGGACCTATTTGACATTTTTCCCAATTTTAAATTATTTGTTCTCCAATTTCAGAAATTCTCTCAGTATTGATTTTGAAAGTGATTTTTCATTTTCTCTATTATACAAAAAAACACTGATTTTATAAAGGTTTATAACCTTTTATTTTTTGATCATTTAAAAAAAAATTGCTTTTTCAAAATCATTTTTTCTCAAACACCAACAATATTTTAATTACACAATTTCTCTAAAATCACTTTAAAACTCACTTTTTAAAATACAAACAATCACAAACACTCTCTTACCCGTATTAAAATGTGTCCTCGGTAGTCATTTGGATCTTCCGTTTTTTCATACTTAAAAAAAAAAGACCGAGAAATAGGTGTACATCCATTCAAAAGATGAAGAATTGCTCGTATGTTTAGAGATTTAAAGCGCGTTTGATAACCCATTTTTTGAGTTTATCAATCTTACTAATCAACATTTTTACAAAACGCGTAATTCTTGATTTTGTGATATGGATCGTGCGGTAATCAAAAGGAAACTATTATGTTTCATTCCGCAATAGGAATCGTTGCATAAAAAATTAATGTCACTAATGACAATAAATACTCACATGTTCCTCACAAAAAAAAACTCTCATGTTGATGTCTAACTACTACTGAAAATATTTGACAATAATAAGTAGTCATATTTTGAAATTCCAAAACATGTTTATTTCTATTTTACGAACTTTCTCTAATCAAAGTGAATAAATTCAGAGTACTTTTCTAAGTGAATTGACTAAAGTTTATACAGCCGATCATTTCAATTATTTTCATATAATATTTTCTTTATTTTCTCTGTGACTTAATAGTAGTCAATTTTGCAGCGAGTAAAGTGTCAAATGAGTATCTTAAATTGTATGTAGGAGAGTAAAGAGTACATTAATTTACAATTCAGACTCACAAATACATAAACTTGGGAACATGGTGTTAATTCAGTACAAATTTAAATTTAAACCTTAATATGCCTGACGTGGCTAACAAATTCCTCATATAGCAAAATTAAACCCACACATCTGCTTACTAGTTACTACACATTATTAATTCCCAATCCCTAATTATTCTTCTCCAACTTGGTTGACGGTGGTGAACTGGGAGAGAGGAGTGTCGGCGTCTTTCGCTGCCTGAAGCCGTCGAGCCCTCAACATTCGCAGGGGACCAAGAGCACTCTTGAGGGGATGAGAATTATGCAATTGTTAAATTTTGCTGCGGATTTGCGTGAATTTCACAGGGGACCAATTGCTGCAGTGTGATTGTATGAATTTTGCAATTGTTTGATAATATGTGTTTGTCGTGAACGTGCACTCTATCTAGATGTGTAAGCTCAAAAACAAAACAAAAATACCTAGGAGAAGAAGATGGAAGATCTAGAACTAAAGAACAAACCTTTTCTCTAAAATTTTCTTTCACATGACTCTAGGGTTAGATACAAGGGAGATAAAGGTTGATGCTGATCTGAACTCCATCGTTTATTTATTAAAGAAACGGTAATTAATTGCCACATCAACTCTTTTTTTTACATTAAACTCAAACTTGTACTAATTTGACATTAAAATCTCGAGTTTATGTACCTTTAAATCTCGATTACAATTTAATGTACTCTTTACGCTATTGTGTACAACTTAATGTGCTGAGCTGACACTTTTCTCATTTTGCAGCTTAATCTCAATGCTCTTAATGTCAACGGTAAATTCTTGAAACCAAAAATTATCTCACAAAGGCAGGATTACCAAATACTAACAAAAGGGCAGGGATTATAAGTTACTAACAAAACATGCTACCACCCATTGAAAACTCAGCACAAACTTAATTTATATCAAAGCATTATTATTTGTCATCCATTCCAGAAAATGGACTAATAATAATTTGCATCAATAAAACAACAAAGGCTGCACCATCCGGCCGAATCCATATAGCCATAACAAAAGACACAATACTGGTACTGAGCACAGGCTGTACTAATACTTTTGCATCATAGCCCTTTCAAGTTTCACCAGTACAACATGGCAGAGACAACAATATGATGAATAAATTGATCCAAATATAATATATAATCACACGCGCGCTGCAGACTTTATATGCTAATACCAAATAGGGACATCCTTCTTCGGTAACATGGCATCCCGAGCAATCCCGGGTAAAGCTTCCGCATAGTCAGTGGCTTGTAGATTGAATAGAGAGCCAAACATGAATGGGAATGTCTCATTTGAGCAGCTGTTATTAAAGAATGAACCAACAGGTGGAGCATTCAAAGACTTATCGCAATGGTTAAGTCGATCACCCGTTGAAACCATCTGGTCTGGACGGTGACAGTCCTCATACATCATTCCCTTCATATTGGCTCCTTGGTTTTGGAGGAACTTGTTGTCAGCTTGCTCAATAGTTTGCTGCTCTTTAGCTTGAATGTTTGTGTCATAAAATGACATAAGATCGGTGATCGTCCTTTGCCCGTCTTCAGGAACACCAAGACCCGAAAGATCGGGGATTTTAGGTTGAACAACCTGTTGAGAGTAAACAGGTCCAGGCTTGACTTGTTGGTTAATATGGAACTGTGGCACACCGAATTGAGCAGAATGGAAAGGGCAAGATAGTTGATGGTTGTCTCTGGCAGATCTCTCCGGAAACCCGAGATGGATCTCGCTACGGGGACAGAGAAGGGCATCACACGTATAGATGTTTTGATCCATAAGGGTAGGCGGGTCATTGCCCGCCTTCCTCTTTCTTGAGAAATCTAAGAAACCATGGAGATTATTTGGTTTCTGGTCTTGGAAATTCTCCATGTTCGATTGGTCATCGACAACATCGTACTCGCCAGTGTCGGTCAAGGTGAACGCCCCACTGCCGCCCGGTGAAGACAACAAGGGTGGACAGCGGTCAGGATAGAGCTCACGGGCCAAGGACTCCTCTTGGTTGATAATAGAAAGCCAGGTGGCACTTTCCTTGGCAGTCATCTTGTCTTGCAAGCACTTGGACTGGCGGACGAGCTTCCGGATCTTGGCAATGTCGGGGTGCATATGTTTGATCACGGCGGTTAGGACACCGACCTTCCACGCCTTCTTCAGATCATGAGGCTTCTTGTAAGGTGGGGGGCCATTCTCTTTATGCAAACCTAATTGAGGCCACCAGTCCTCATTCCCCGTGGGCCACCACGGAGGTGGAACACCCTTCTCCAAAGGAAACCGCCTTTGTGGGGGCTCACAATGCTGCATCAGAGCTGATAACAGCGAACCGAGGGTGGTGTCCTGCAGCTCCTGTAGCGTGTGAGGTGTCGGGCCAACCGGTTCAACCCCCTCGGTCTGACCAGGGATTGCATTTTCGGATTTATACTTCGCTATAGCAGCCGGACCGTTCCGGTCAAACCTCACCTTGTCCTTCCACCATTCCCGGAGATTGTCAGAGGCACCACTCACTGGCTTCCCTTTCTCCGGGATTATCCCATAGACAAATCCTTGAGCTTTACACACTTCCATCATCTTCAGCATGTACTTCAAGATCCCGTCCTGGGCACGAGACATCTTCTTCCTCCTCGCCTGTTCTTGGGACTGGCGGTTCTTCGCAGTGTCCACTACCCCGCCACCGCCACCTTCGTTGTTCTTGTTCATCTCTTTCAGCCTCTTGAGTTTCATCTTGTCACGCCACATCCTCCTCTCCAGTTCATCCACATCAATCTCTTCATCACTGTAATCGTCCTCGACAACCGGCTCTAAGGATCTGTTTGGCTGAGCAACTGGTGCCTTCACTGGAGTGGGGGAGAAATCAAGATCCCCACAGAACCCCATCTCCTCAAACATCATCATATTCACAAACTGAGTGTGTATCTTTGATCTTTATCTCCTACAAATAAATATGCATGCACAAAGTCAATTAATAGCGTAAAGATCAGAATCAGCTCTCATAAGCCAAGATTAACACAGTTAGAATCCGCGATTTGAACAAAAAAGCAAATCTTTACATGTGAAACCACATTAAAAAGAATTGAAGTGGAGTCCAACACAGAGCAGAAAGAAAAAGGTAACCTTTTGAACAAAAATATAAAGTGAAAAGAGGTGATTAGGCACTAGCCATCAAAACTCCTCTGTTGGGTGCACATGACACAGAACCATATATTTTCCCCTCACAGGAAAATATGAATGTCAAATTTCACTGAATCTGAAAAATAAGAAAGAAATTTAACAAGAAAATCTCCAAGATCTGCTCGTAGAGTCCCAAATCTAGAAAGTCATAGGAAACGCCAATAAAAACCATAAAACTCCCAAAGAAAACAGTCACTCACTTAATTCCACATTTTTGGACTACATTGCAGAGAAAAATATCACAAAAAAAATGATCAGTATAATTGCCCAAATCTTCATAATACCCAAAAACTGTAAAATTACATAAATCCCGAATAAATCCAAGAAACCTTCAAGGCAGACACTAAAACCTCAAACTTCTCATTTTTCTGTTGAAATTGAACAGATTAATACAGACGAAGAACGTATGAAGGAAAACAAAAATTGTAACGGCAACCCAAAATCTAGATTTGCCCGAAGAATAAATAAAAAACTACAATAAAGAAAATTAGCAAAAGAAAATAAGAAACGCATAAAGATCTCAGCTTTCATCCGTTGCTGGCATTACACGTATTTTATCCAAAGCAATAGTTCTTTACCTCAAAGATTTTCGGAGAGATTTCTTGATGATAACAATAATATACCAATAAAATCAATTGCTAATATTATTGAGGTCCTGGAGGAGTTCAGAGATTGTAGAGACAGAGAATTGATGGGACTGGTGCTCAGAGGGACACGGAGAAAGAAATGAAAGTTTGCGCGTACTATTTATGAATTCATAGTTTATAAAATGAAAATGCTTGCGGTACATACAATGTACACAAAGTGTACATACTATAAAGGGCCAATTTAATTTTTATCTTTCTTTTTCTTTAATTTATCCCTTCCCACCAACTCTTTTCTCTCTCTTTCCCTATCTGTGCCCAGACATTTCATGTCCGGTTCATAGACAATTTTACTAGGCATATGAGCTCATTAGCCCAAATGATTGACTATTGTTTATTATCAAACATTTCATATCACGTCCACAAACAATTTTACATAGTACATTAGTCCGTTCAAATGGACATTGTCTATAACCAGACAGTTCATGTCTGGTTCACAGACAATTCGATTAAACACATTAGCCCTTTAGCCTATTCTAGTGACTATTTTTGTGTTAATGAGCTATTGTGCTAAGTGGAATTGTTTCTGAGCCAAACATGAAGTGTCTGGTTACAGACAATGACCACTGGAATGAACTAATGTATCAAGTAAAAATGCATGTGAGCCTGATATGAGGTGTCTGACCACAAACAATAGCCCCTTGAATGAGTTAATGTGCTAAGTGAAATTGTCTGTGAACTAGACATGAAATGTCTGCCTACAGGCAATAGCCACTGAAACAATCAAATGTGCTAATTGAAATTGTGTGTGAACATGATATGAAATGTCTAGTTACAAACAATAATTGTACCACTGAAACAAGTTAATTTGCCAAGTGAATTTATTCAACCGAGATTCTTAATTTCATAAACAACTATTGTCCACAGATATAATAGAGAATAAAGTATGAGCAAAATTATTTAGGTAAGTTTGTTTTCACACAAACAATTTTTATTTGGGCATATTAACATAACTTGTATATAAGAAAATTCAGAGTTAGTTCCAACCGAGATCATGTTTTATCTTTTATGGAGTAGCTATTTTGTAAGATATTTAACACTTTCATGATTTACATCTATTTTCTATTAATTTAATAATTATAATGAATACAAGTTATATATAACAATGTATCATAATGAAAGTAAGACTACTAATTCAGCTTTTCAACTAACTTACAACATAGTTTAAAAATATAACTTACTTACACTGAAGAATTAGTTACAAGAATGACACGTCCCATGTCCCATTATCAATACAAGTATCAGGTTTTATTCAAAACCAACTCAAAAGATTATAACATCATAAATTACATCAAAAGCTAAATAAGAAGAGCAAATCGACTGTTTAAGCCATCACATTTGGTGTACATAACAAAACTACCACAAATATATTTAACCATATTACTACTTTACAATTATTATCTAAAATAAATGATGCTCCTTTGTAGTGGACTTGAATACTTGATCATCAAAAAGTAGCTCAAGTGTTCCTTTTTTTGTAAACCTATAGCAAATCAATTGAACAATGAAACAAAAGAAAAACAACTCATTATATTAACAGTTCAAAACATCAACTGAAAGCATCAAAACAAAACAAAAATCTTGGAAAGCATCAAAACAATAAAGCTATAACAAGCAAAGTGAGCATAAATTCAATATCCCAAAATGCAGAACCGACAGTCTCATTGACATCTTTTTAATAGATAAATTCTAAAATAAACAAAAGAACAAAATTAAAGAAACACTAAATCTTACACAATCTCAGGGATTAAGAGACTTTCTTGGTTATTATGAGCAAAGTCTCACCTGTCATTCGAAGTTTAAGAAAATGGAAATCTTGTAGTTCATTGTTTTCTTGTAGTAAGAATTAAAACTATAGTATGAGTTTGGTAAGCATTGAATAATTAAAGCATAGTGTTTGCACTATGAAAGCATAGTGTTTGCACTATGAAACACAGTGCGAGAAAAGAAAATTTGGGATGATTTGAGGGCTTTAATTATCTCTGCTGCCATGTTAATTAATCTAGGAGAAGATGGCAAATTCACAAAGGACTAGCTTGTGCCACATAAACTTAAAGAGGAGTGTAGAATTTGGCTAAGTATTTTGGGACGGAGGTAGTATAAAATTATCACCCCCAATCAAGAATTCAAAGTAAACGCATCTTCTCTTTATAAATCAGGAGACATATATACAGTTAGCAAACACTAGTTCAAATGCCATACGGCAAAACCATTAATATTTGATGTAGGACTTCACTCTAGATTTGGTGCAGTTCAATGATATAATGTAAGACTTCAAAAGATGAAACTAGTATTCACTCATCTTCCACAAACCTAATTTAAGTACTAAAAGAGTAGTAGATTTTTTTTTGGAACACCTTACCAGGTTATTAGAAAATTAGAAAAGTACATGGTAGGGGGACCTGAAGCCGAAACCTACCGAATTAAATCACATACGGGTAACTAACCGCATCAAATTTGAGAATTCCTTGGAATTTACTATAAGTGTTTGGGCTACTAGTAAAAAGATTAGCATTAATCGCAACCTAATAAGCTGCCCTATTACAGGATTTAGTGATGCAAGAGTAACCGAATCAGTAGCTTTGGTAACAAGCGGTTTGGCCCTGCTCACATCCCGAATCTCCCTATTGAGACTCAATAGCCTCAGAGAGTAAAATATTAGTATCATCATAGAGACTCACTGTGGTGGTTTCTAATATTCAAAAGGTTCGCGTAATGGGTCCACAGATTTTTGCTAAGATCACATGAAGTATAATAGTGGTCTCTAGTATCTCCTGGAAGAACTAAAAGAGTAGTAGAATACATATAGAATACATGTTATAAATACCAAATCCTGAAACATACTTAGGGATAAAAAAGACAACATTATAGATTCTAAACATATTCTTAATTTTCTACGGGTCAAGGATTCGAAAAGAAGATTTTTGTCAAACCAAATGTTTGATCATAACTACAAAGACAACATCATTTTGATAATTAAAGAATATAGTAACTCTCCAAAAACAAATGTTTGAACTAAGAGAAACAAAATACTTTAGCACCCTAATATTGATATCAGCAACTTTACAATTTATTCCAATACAGCAACCCAAGCACAAGTAACAAAAATAAGAGCTCAAACATTTGTTCTCAAAAATTCAAAACTTTAAAGGGTATGTAACAAAAATAATGATATTCTCAAATAATATAGAAACAAAAGTGTCAAACAAACAACATTAAAATATCAATAAAACATAAAATTTAAAAGAAAAAAATAGAGTTACAACCCTAATCCTTAAACAAAAAGGGGTAAATTAGCATCTAATTTAGGGTTAATGAGGTTGGAGTGAAGGAAGATGAAGGGGGGAGGGATAAGGGTCAGATAGGGCCTCGAACTTGAAAAAAATGTCAAATAAGGCCATATTTAGGATGCTCTGTCTGGCCGACGCCATTTGGGGCGGTTCCCGGTGGTATTTTTTGATGATTTTTTTTGAGAATCTTATGCATTAAGTCTAGTTTACTCATATCAAATTTGAACTGAAACTTTAATCGGGAAGGCATTCAAATGAATTTTTGAAGATAGCTGTGCAGTTAAAAGCGCAGTTATCTTTAAAAATTCATTTGAATGCCTTTCCGATTGAATTGTTAGTTCAAATTTGATATGAGTAAACTAGACTTAATGAATAAGGTTCTCAAAAAATTTCATCAAAAAATTCCACCGGGAACCGCCCCAAATGGCGTCATCCGGACATAGCATCCTAAATATGGCCTTATTTGACATTTTTTTCCAAGTTCGAGGCCCTATTTGACCCTTATCCCAAGGGGGAATGAATTCCATGGTGGCAGTGGGTCTGCAGCAATTCACCGAGTCCTAAATCGATCCTACATGTCGAAAACGCTCGCGGGTGGTCGAACCTGTAATTTTACAGGCCGTGGCAGCATCCGGACGGCGGCGGCTCCAGGCGGCGATGTCTTCCAGATCTGCGGCACTCCCTATTCATTCGTGAACACCATAGTGATAAATAAAATGGCTTGTGACAATTAAATATGGAGGAGGATTGCAATGAAAATGAGGAAGAAGAAAGAAAGGAGAAAGTGGGCATATAGACACATTAAATATTGCAATGACATCATTATTTTAGGAAATCAAGCTAATGGGCATCAAGCCATTTTAGGAAATGACATCCTAACAAATTAAATCAAATCAGATTAATTTGATCAAATTTTCACATTAATAAAATCAACATATAACACACATTTATCATATCATATTAGTTCCGACCAAGTCAACCCCGATCAGACTTCAAATATCATACGAGTATTAAATTAGACCATTAATATCATATCACATTGATATTAATGTCAAATTAAAAACATCTAAACTAAACTATGACATTAATACATTATATTAAGGATAATAGAGCTCGTTGCAGACCCCTCCAGATTGAACTGGACCAGATTTAAACATATCAAACTAAATGAGCTCAGATTATATTACATTAAATCATACTAGGTACTATGTACCATATATATAGACTGAATCATGTCTATTTGACCAGACTTTTGTGATTAGAATATACACAGAAGAAATACTTATTATAACAAATTTATTATAAACACCCTAAAACACTATCATACTTGGCATTTTCTCCTTTAAATTTGAATTGATACTTTTGGGCGTGCCTAAATTGTTGGGGTCATAATTTGTTTATTGTTGAGGTCATATTTTAAGTTGTGGTCACGGTCACTATGGTTTGAATCACTTCGACTGTTATATCAAATGCGATTGATGTAGTTATTAATTTTATTGTAGATATTTATTTTATTACTAATTAATAATATTGTCAATAAATATACTCATTTAATGAAGAGTTATGAATTTAACGCTAGTAAAAAGAATTACTTCTTTCAAATCCATGTAATAACTATGTAAGTGAAGATGGAACATTGGCTCTAGGGCTTCGACTATGTCGGCCGCTGGAGCCCTTTTCCGATTTCGACTTTGTCAAAGATCGGCTTTGATATCCCTTGGTCGCTGGTACTCGGCTGGAGTCCAGGTCAGACGTGGAGGGCGGAGATTAGTGGAGGAGGGCGGATTTGCTGTCATGGCCCGAGGAGATCGGCGTTGTGGTCAAGGTTCGAGGATGCGGCGTTGCGGTCATC